GTAAATGAAAAAAGCCCAAATTTCAAACTATCTGAATCTAAAACATGTGTCTTTCTATCACTTAATTGTTGCTCTCCTAAAAGAGGAAACCTCCTTGGCCGTTTGACTTTGAGGAAACCAGGTAGACCCTGTAAGCCTCACCATGCTCCTCTGTAAAATGGGAAACAGAAATCACACTTACTTCGCATATGTTCTCAGTTGGTTTGGGAAAGTTTTATTTTTTTTTAGAAAACTTTCCATTTTACCTGTTTTCAAATGCATTGGAGAACATTATTTACCATTCGGTTATGATTTTAGAAATCTTTACTTTCTGTTATATGTCTTTTTTAAATTATAAATATTATTTGTGCTTTTTCTCTCTTTTTGCCAGAGGTTTCTACATTTTATTGGCCTTCCCTAAGAACCAACTTTGGTTTTCTTCATTTTCTCTAGTATTTCTTTGCTTTGCAGTCCTCCCCGCCCCAACCTTTTTAATTTCCAAGCCACTCTATAGGCTTACTCTATGTTCTTTTTTTGTTTGTTTTTGTTTTTTGAGACACAGTCTTACTCTGTTACCTGGGGTAGAGTACAATGGCGTCATAGCTCGCAGCAACCTCAAACTCTTAGGCTCAAGTGATCCTCTTGTTTCAGCTTCCCTAGTAGCTGGGACTACAGGTGCCCCCTCAATAATGTCCAGCTAGTTTTTCTATGTTTTGTAGAGATGAAGTCTCCCACTTGCTCACGCTGCTCTCAAACTCCTGAGCTCAAGCAATCCATCTATCTTGGCCTCCCAGAGTGCTAGGGTTATAGGCATGAGTCACCATGCCCAGTCTCTATATTCTAATTCGATTATATTGTGTATCTGCTTAGGAATCGGTTTTAATGTCATGTTTTCCATTATGAGTTCTCCTTAACCCATTAATTAATTTAAAGTTGCACTTCGTGTGTTATTTTCAGTTTACAAATTAAACCGGAAGGGGTGGTTACTATCTTCCTATTGTCTGGTAATTTTTTCTTGTTTTTTAAAGGTTAGAGAACATGGCCTTGCATGACGTTATCTGGATTTACTAGAGTTTACTGATACTTATACAGACATCAATTTACTGCATTTATTTTTTATGCTTGAACATAGTACATTTTCATAGGAGTTCTGTTTACTCAAAAAGAATGACATTTTCTATTTACTATTTAGTTCATATGAAGTTTATAAATCTGTCAAATTCTCTAATCTCTGCTTATTTTTTATCTTCTTGACTTGGCAAGAAGAATCTTTTCATTCCTGTTATTTCTTGTCTCTTATAAACAGCATTCAACTGTATTTAAAAACTGAACATGAGGATCTGTGTCTTTAGTAGATGTGTTTAATTTTCTAATGTAGTAACAGTTACGTTTAGATTTAATTTCATGGGTTTGTGTGTGTGTGTGAGATTTCTTTTAATCATAGTTTTTTCTGTAAGTTCCCCCTTCCCTGCTTTCACTATTTTGATTCTCTTTTTTTGCCTCTATATAGATCATAGCTATAAGAGATTACACTTATATTCTTGACACCTAAATTTAATGAATTAAAAATCCTATTTTGCTGAAACAAATAAAATACCCCCTAAGAAAACAAATGCCCCCTGAAACAAACAAATAAAATCCCCCCTAAGAAAACCCATAAAAAGAACCTTAGAAGGCTTTCCTCTGAAAGTTCCTACACCATAGTTTATGTTATTTACCTAGAACATCAGCTTTCCAAGTTTTAATTTTTTGCAAATTTCCTAAATTATGTATGTTGTGTATATCTACACATATGGACTGAACAAATCACATGTGCACAGCTGTTGCTATAATTGAAAAAAATACACTATTTCACTAAATTAGTATTAATAGTATATTTAAAATAGTGAAAAATACACTATTTCACTTTAAATTATTTTTATAAACATATAATTTAAAGTCTCTCTCTCTTTTTTTCCCCCTGTAATGAAGCTTCCTCAAGTATTCATCTGTCCATCTGTCTCACCTGATGGCTTTCTCACCTTCATTATGTGGTATATTTTGTACATTTTTTTTTTTTGGAGACAGAGTTTCACTTTGTCACCCTCGGTGGAGTGCTGTTCTGTCATAGCTCACAACAACCTCAGACTCTTGAGCTCAAGCGATTCTCTTGCCTCAGCCACCCGAGTAGCTAGAGGGAATACAGGTGCCCACAGTAATGCCCGGCTATTTTTAGAGAAGGGGGTCTCACTCTTGCTCAGGCTGGTCTCGAACTGGTGAGCTCAGGCAACCCAGCTGCCTCGGCCTCCACACTGCTGGGCTTATCAGCGTGAGCTATCACGCCTGGCCCTAGTTTGTCCTTCCTGACTGTCCTCCTGTATTCACCAAGAGTTGCTTTTCACGGACGTCTCTTGTGTCTTGGTTCTGGATAACTGCAGGTTCACTCCTCACATGGCTCTATGAACGTCTCCAGTTTAGGTTCCCCTTTGAATTTAATATTTTTGGTGTTCATGTTTCCCAGCTCATGGTTCCCACTTCAGAAATGCAGTGTGAGATGAGAATGTACACTGTCCACGGTGAAGGCTCCTGGTTTTGCTTTCCACTCGAAATACCAAGTGAGTAGCCGAGAAGTGGGTAGGGTTTGCCCAGGCCAGTCTGTTCAGATAGAATTTTTCTTGTCCCTATTTCAGAGCGTGGAGGCAGCTTCAATGCTCCAGAGGCAAGGCCTGGAGCTTTCTCTCCCTCAGCTCTGAAGGAGGGCTGCTTTCTTTTCTGACGTTCCCATGTGGCCTTACCAGTCTTGCTCTCACTGTGGTACTTGGGCATTTCGCTCAAGTTCAGCCGCATGTGAACTTGCATTTGCTGTGTGGGGGGTGTGGGGGCAGGGAGTAATGAGCAAGGGGAGGTTTTCCTGCAGCAGCTCCATTTACTGTATTTTCTAGAGGTCTGGTAACTTTTTTTTTCTTTTACATTTTCATTCAAATTTAACTACAGAGATATAGAAAACACACTTGATAGAATTTTAAAGTCTTGTTTCCAACTAATCATTATAGTTGATTATATGGACAAAAAGTTTTAATTATTTTGACAATTCCATTTATTAAAATTATCATACTATTTCCATCATAAATGCTATCCACCTGATGTCTTTTTAGGAAATAGCTACAGTTACAGATCAGGATATTTAACTAAGATTTGCCTTAATACCTGACCTTACGGTATCTATAAATCATTTACCTCTGATATGAATCCAGTTTAGTGGTAGATTTTGCCTTAAGAATTCTGTTCTAGCTAATTGTATAGAATCTACCAGCCAACCAACAAAAGCATGCTGAAGGCTATTTTACCTACAAGTAGAAAATCTGTTCTAGCGACTTCTCCCCGGTGAACACATGCTGCTCTTTTTGTTCTCTTACTAGCAAAGACCGAGGTAACCAACAGGAGGAATGGCCACGCTGGGAGAGTGGTTGTTCCAGGCAGGCAATAGCGAGGAACCATGGGTGTTTTTTTCTTTCTTTTTTGTTTGAGTTTAAGACTATTCTGAGAATAGGAACATCAAAGTTATTTGTGGGATTTTTCAAAGTTATTTTCATTTTTTTCTATGTAGGTATTAAAAGTGTGCCTCACTTTTCTCTAATAGTTTATGCAATCAAGGTATAAAATGTAAACAAAATGTAAACATAAGTTGTTAGTCTTTTTGAAATGAAGAGATTAATGAGCATTACTACTAAAAAGTTATAATGTTTGTTATTCACAAAGAGTAAGAATCAAACTCCTGTTTTGACAAAGGCTACCAACCAGTAACCCTTTTAAACTAGAAATGAGAGAAGCATCTAATTTTTGTGTTTCCTCATTACATTTCCAATAGGTTTATGAATTAATTTTGTTAAACACCGAAAACTACATATACTTACCAGCTTAAAGGATTTCACAGCATTTTTATAATTTTAGACTAGTAAGTTCAGTTTATTTTTTTCTCCTGGAAAGGAATAGAACCCTAAAGGTTTAAAGCTGTGAATGAGTATATCGGAACTATTTAATGAATTAACTCACTAATGAAGTTTGGCTGATGAAAATTATACACTGGCTATTTTTAAGACAGGCTCTGTTAAGTGTTCACCTTAAATAATAATTGCACTTCTTTCATATATTTTTTAGTGTAATTAGTGTATTAGTGGTCTGGAATTTTACTCAACTGTAATAACATAAAATTTTCTTTAGTTTTTTTGGAGAAATTCTGTGATAAAATGATTAATGAGAACAGCATACTGATTAAAACTAACACAATACATTTTTTTAGCTCCTAGGAGATACAAGATGTATTTACAAATTTCATAGTCTCAGTACTATGAGGTGGACAGGGTAAGAGCATATTATTTTTTATGGAAATTTAAAGCACAAAATGGGTTAAAGCCACGTCAAATAACATCTACCCATTTTATGTGTCTGTGGATATGCCTATTTAGTTGATAAATACGGAGAATATTTATTCCATCCAAATATTTCAATTGTGTGTATACTACCATCAGCCAATGCATTCTAATAAAAAGGCCTCCCAGACTGGTTCTGTGCCAACTTTTATTCTTATTTTGCTTAAATTCTCTGAACCCTGGAAAAGAATTCTAGGAAAGAAGTAGTTCAACAAAAAGAAATTAATGCGATATTACTTTATTTTGACTTTACAATTTTTTATCTTTCACTGAAGTTTGGGCGTTTGGAAATATATACACAGTGGGAGAAGTTCCTTGGCTGTATCTGGGAACACCTGCCTAAAACTGAAAACCCACCCTTCTACAGTTTATTAGGCAAGTCAGGTCTGAAATCCAAATCTCCAAAAGTCTAGGCCCGAGTGCTTTCTGCTCCGAGTTTGTGAAACACACAGTGAAATGCTTGGCAGTCACTGTCCCCAGGATATGCTGCAAAGTAAAGTGTTTACGAATGCCTGTTTAGAAGAACCACTCTAAGTGGTTCTCGAAAACCGAAACTAAGTCTCATCCTGAAGTTTTATTGTCTATTCCTGTGGTAAGGAATGAGTGACTTACCTGCCCCATGCGGCCTCATTTGTAGACTCTTCACTAACTGGGACACAGGAGGAGTCAATGGTAGTTGATGTATTCATCTTGTAGCAGAAACCACAGTCGGGATCTAACATGCATTCATTACAGTAACTGAAAAACGAAAGAGTTACAATTACAATGGAAGAGGTAACTGGTGCTCACTCTGTACTAAATTCCTTTTCCCCTCTCTTCCGCAGTAAGCCTGGGGCCATGCGAGTCATTTTGGCCAAGGCAAGTGCCACATGCCCAGGCAGGTGAGAGCTGGGTGGTCTCTTCAAACTCTTCAATCTGTACCTTTCTTGACTACAGCACGTTTGGACCACTTTGAGATGAAGAAGGCTTAGATCTGGGAGACTGAATGTGGAAGGGTACTAGTCAACCTGTGGGCAAACAGACCTTTGCTTTCCTAAATAACTGAGACTTGCTACCAAACAAATCTGTCGACTGGCCCATCTTGATCTAAACCTGACTGGTTCCAAATTGTATCTAAGCATTTATTGTTCCTAATACATCCCTCATGTACCATCTATTTAAAAAATTGGAAGTACTTTTTTATTTTTTCTTGCCCAGTATGTATCCTGAAATAGAACATTTAAACAATGAAAAAAAAAAAAAAACACTTTACCCCAGTTAAAATGACATTTATTAAAAAGTCAAAAAACAACAGATGCTGGCATGGATGCAGAGACAAAGGAATGCTTATACATTATTGGTGGGACCGCAAATTAGTACCACCTCTATGGAAAACAGTATGGAGATTGCTCAAAGAACTAAAAGTAGACCATTCAGGTAAAGCCTACTTTGCCCAAAAGTAAAAGAAATAATTTTACCAAAAAGGCACCAGGACTTGAATGTTTATTGCAGCATAATTCACAGTTGCAAAGATGTGGAATCAACCCAAGTGTCTATCAGTTAATGAGTGGGTTAATAAAAGGTGATGTTTGTATACCATGGAGTACTATTCAGCTATGAGAAAAAAGATGAATTAATACCTCTTGCAACAATGTGGATGGAAGTGAAGCCTGTTCTCCTAAGTGAAGTGTCTCAAAAATGGAAAAGCCAACACCACGGTAAATTGGAACTAACCAATGAGCACACATGTGCACAGAGAGAAGTAAAACTTAGTGGAAAGCAGCTGGGCACAGGTGGAATAAACCAACCTAATGGACAGTATGAATGTGATTTGGGTGACGGGCACGGCTACAGCCAGGACTCAAGCATTACAAAAACAATCCCAAGTAACCTAAAACATCTGTACCCCCTTAATGTTTCAACGTTAAAAAAAAAAAAACTAATAAAATTAAACAAAATACTATCACTCAAATATGGTCATTGTTAACATCTTGGTGGACATCTGTACTGTTATAAATATATCTTAAGACTACTATGTATTATTCATAATTTAAACAAGTGGGTGTGGGAAAAAAGGCTAACCTTCCTCTAAGCTAATCACAGCTGCTAGTTGGATCAAAAAGCGGGCTCACTTAGTCATGGCTCACTTGACAGCAGAATCCTGACTATAGGAAAACCGTAGAGGCAGAAACCTTTAGAGGGCAGGGTCTGCCGACCCAAGCCGATAGTGTGCTTACGGAAAGAGTATTCTCCCTGTAACACGGTCATTTGCTAAACAAGTCTGGAGCACTTCATACATGCCAGGCACACGCAAGGCACTGGTGATGCTGAAGATGGATAAGCCAAAGTCCCTGCTCCTTGGTAGAAAAAAGGCAAAAATGAGAAAGAGATGTATAAATAAAAATGGCAACATAACGGGAAATGGATAAATCAGAGGATAGGGAAGATCAGTAGTCCTTTTGTTTTCATAATCACCAGCCTCAAACATCCAAAGGACACAGGCTTATATTCATTTTGACCAGAAGAGCTGCCAATAATTTCAGAAGTGACATTTGAACTAAATCACAAAGAAATCTGCCATGCAAAGAGGCAGAAAAAGGGGAATTTTAGAGAACTGCTTATTTTATTTTAGAGATCAGTCAACACAGACTTATTAAATATCTGCTGTGTACAAGTAGTTACACCACGGGTTATGGAGGAGAAACAGGTCATCTGAAAAAAATATCTGAAAGGCACACAAGTTGTTGAAAGGAATAGGAAGGACAATATTTCTTAATCCTCAAAATCAAAATATCTCTTTGATTCATTTAACTAAAGGTGAAAACACTGGCAGTATTTAGAAATTAGCTTTATTATCATTTCACAGCCTCCTCTTTTAAACTTTTCTTTTGGTAAACAGTCATCCCTATTTTTGAATGGACTTCAGCCCTAGACAAAAAGCAAAAGAGAAGCCTTTCAAAACCTACTGAAAGGTTAATATATGTTAGACAGGTGATTCAGCACTATACATATAAAACTGTCCACACCTGTGATAGGCACAATACAATCAAGAGATCAGAAGTACACTGAGCTGATGGCTCTGAGAAACAGACTAAGTTAATTTTTAAAAAGAAGGTAATTTCTACTGGTTTTTGTTTTTTGTGTAGTCTACCAATATGTGCTAAATTTAACACTAATTATTCTACTGGCTGTAAATGATACTCATTTGGGAAAGTTCAACTCATCCATTTGCAGATAAGAGTTTTCAACTTTATTTCTCTAAAAATATGTCATCCCTATAAAAGTCCAAAGAACGTAATAAAAAAGACTAATAGTTACTGAGAACTTACTGTGTGCGTGTCAGACAAAGGAGAGGTTACGCCTAATGAACAGTTCCCTCCATCACTCATCCAAGCAGCCCAATCTGACCACAGCTTCCCACTTTTCCAGCTTGCTTTTTACATGATCACCCCATGGCCTATTGCATGTCAGGCGCGATTCCAGGCATGGTGGCACAATAGTGAACAAAACAGAGTCCCGCCCTCATGGAACTAATTTGAGTATAAGACCTTCTGATGACCACGAGTTAACTGACCCCTCCACTTGGTCTCTATTCATTAGGTTTCCGTTTCCTTAATCAGCTTATTGACCTCAGCCCATCATTTCAACATCCAAAATTTTCCCATTCCTCCATCAATCCATCCCACCAATATGGCAAAAATCCTAGCCCTGTATAGATACAAACACTTGCCTTTTGTGTGCATTCACCCACATAGCTAAACGCAGCTGAATGGATAAATCACAGGATAGAGAAGATCAGAAGTTCTTTTGTTTTCATAATCACCAGCCTCAAACAGACCCTTGCCAAGCCTGGAATTTTTAGTAACTTTCTTTAGTTAACTGTACACAAAGACTATTTCAATCAATTACATGAAAGCCATCTCAGTTCTTTTTCACTTTCTCCAAACCTCCAGTGATCTATTTTCCTGTACTCTGTGGATGACTATAACTTCAGAGAAAGTAGAAAGAGAAACCACAGAGAAAACAGGGATCAGCAGACAGGAACTTTATCATCTCCTCAGCAGCAAACACAGGCACTGTAAATCCTGTCCTCTACCCTCCAGTTACAAAGGGAAGCTGTTCTTCTTGCCGCAGGGCAACTTCTTAATCTGGGCTTTCTTTCCATTCCATCTCAGTCCCTTTTAATTCCTGCCCCTTCTTTCTCTTAGTGTCTTCAGGTCAAAGTTTAAGTGACTGATGGGAGAGGTCTCTTCTCATGGGCAGGTAATGCTATGAATTTCCCTCTGTGCACTGCTTTAACTGCACCCCGCCTTTGTGACCTTGTGTCTTCATTCTTATTTACCCCAAAGCACGTTCTAATTTCCCTTGTTTCTTGTTTGCCCAATTGGCTCTTTACAAGTGTGTTGATTTTCAAATATTTATTCATTTCTCAAGTTTATTCTGTTAATAATTCCTAATTTTACTCTACCATGATACAAAAATATACTTTGATATTAGTCCTTTTAAATTTACTGAGGCTTGTCTTATGAACTAGCACATGGTCTACCTTGGAGAACATTCCTTGTGCACTTGAGAAGATACATATTCTGTTGTCACTAGGCAGAATGTTCTATACATGACTACTAATCTACATGGGTTTAGTTACTATGTAATCTTACAACATCTTGGTCCCCTGGTTTCTAACAGTCTTGACCTCTGCTTCACCTCATCCATATCCCAGAAATTTTCATCATCTAGGACAAGGGGCAGCAAACTACATACAGTCTTTGAGAAAAATCTGGCTGGCCCACCACTTGTTTTTGTAAATAAGGTTTTACTGTAACACGGCCATCCCTATTTATTTACTTATTGTTTATGACTGCCTTCATGCTTTTCAAGGGCAGAGCTGAAAAGCTTTAACAGAAATCATCTGGCCTGCATAGATGAAAATATTCACTATCCTGCCTTTTACTACTCCCTCATTAGAAGACATACACAGATCTCACAAGCAGATATTCCACGCAGCTCCTTCAAGCTTCCTCGCTTTCTTATTCCAAGAACAAGCGCTCTTCTACCTCAAAGAAACCTCAGCACTCCTTCCACTGTGATCTTTCACTCACTTCATGGCTTTGCTGCCTTGTCTATGGAACCTTCTTAGTAAAGCTCTCCAACCATTCCCACTAGGTCCCCGATGTCCTCATGTTTCGTTTCTTCTACTGCAGCCATCCTACAAAACTTCGTGTTTAGTTCTTTCCAACCTCCTCCTTCTCCCTCTCCACATACAGGCTATTCCATAGTGGTGGAGAAATGACACAACCAGGTGTGTTGATAAAATACACTCATAGTGTTCAACCTTGGGTGGATACTCACTGCTTATAGGAAAACTTTCTCTGTCCCTAACAGGTAACGTTCTCCACTCGTGCAACTGGTGGTGCAAACACCATGACTAGCCTCAAATCCCAATCCTTATTCCTCCACAAATCTCTCAGAAGATGGCTTTGTTTTTGTGAGGGCTCAGAACATGATGCCCCAAAATATGGCACTTGGAAGATCACATTCTAATCTTTTCTTCCCACTCCCACCTGCACCTCTGAAGACTGGTCATCCAGAAAGAAACTTCTCTGACTTACTTCTTCTGACAGAAGGCTGTAAGACTCTCATTTCAGAGGGGTTCTTCTCTATGCCAGAGGCCAAAAAGACTCTGGGTACACAGGCCTCTCTGAATTCCCCCTAGTTTATTACCATTAGACAATACCTTTTTGTCCTCCACTCAAACTTCT